TTGGTTCCCATGAGGGATTTTTTTTTACTACGCCTATAAACCGAATTTACAAAACACACCAGAGTGTAGAAAACCAATTACAATCTCCTATAAGAAGAAGAAGAAAAAAAAACATGCAACACCATTCTGATAACATCAGCACCACTGCCCGAAGGCAAAAAATAAAAATACACTGCTAAGGTGGAGGGCTTTCCCATAAACACCCCACCAAGCTAGAAAGAAAACTCACCTCTGACTGCAAAGGGTGGTTTCCATCCCACAGCAGAGCTCCTGTTCGGAGTTTCTATGTTACTTTGGGATTACTGCGTAAAATTTGCGATTCGACACAGGTAAGACACAGCTGGAACTAACCTAGCAATTAACACAGCTGCTCAGCGTTTAGGTTTAAATGCATTTTCTGAGAAATCACTCACATTTGGACCATAAACGCTGCGCGTGATGGCTTATGGTTTATATTTGTGTTCTCATGAAAGCCGTCACCAGGCTAATTCCCACAGCCCTCTACCTCTCAGTCGGAGCTCTCTTCCCTCTCTGCCTCTCAAATACCTACAGTATTCAGTCGGCAGCTTCTCCACGGGTTCCTTCCATCTCTGTCCCCTTCCCCACCCTCAGCACCTCCCAAGGGTGTGCTATTTCATCATCACGTACTTGGCGCTTAATTTTACATGGATGTGGGTTGTTCTTTATCCTCTTCCTGTGTTACTCTTTTCTCCCCTGGTTTTAAGTCCCATGTTGGGACTTTCTGTGACCTCAGAGAACCTTGTGGGGTGCTGATTGTGGGTTCAGCAAATATTTATGGGTTTATTGTTTGTTCCAAAGGAGACTCTAATTAATAAGAGAGACTTGGAACATTCATAGCCTATGTACTGAAAGCAAGGCTGTGGAAGCCAGGCCTGGGCTGCGGCCCCCACTACATCACTTTCCACTCTGTAACTTGGAGTGATTTTCTTCCTTTCTCAGCTCCTTTGCTCATCTCAAAAAGGAGGATAATAATAGTATTTACTTCATGGGATTGTTTGGGGAGTCAATGAAGCAATGAACATAAAATGCTGAGCACAAAGGTCCAGTCCTATTAACAATAAATATAGAGCAAGCACTCAATAAATGGTAGCTATTGGTATGAAAACATTTCTCAAGATAAACTCATGCCTGAACTATTTGGTTGGGAAATGGTGCAGGCAGGTACTGGGGATGGGGATGCCATCCATCACTGGCAAGTGCTGCCCCAAGGGGGCTCTGCTTAGTACCACTTGCGGCCCTTTCATACTGAAAGAAGATGAGTCTGATGTCTTCTATTTGGCTGTTTAAAACAATTCCTAGTAACTAATACGGGTACTCCTTCCTTCTTCCTTTCCTTCCTTTTCTCTTCTCTTCTCTTCTCTCTGTCTCTCTGTCTCTCTGTCTCTCTTTTTCTTTTTGATGGACTCTCGCTCTGTCGCCCAGGCTGGAGGGCAGTGGCACAATCTCGGGCTCATTGCAACCTCCTCCTCCCGGGTTTAAGCGATTATCCTGCCTCAGCCTCCTGAGTAGCTGGGACTACACGCGCATGCCACCACACTTGGCTAATTTTTAGTATTTTTAGTAGAGACGGGGTTTTACCATGTTGACAAGGCTGGTCTCAAGCTCCTGACCTCGTGATCCACCCGCCTCGGCCTCTTAAAGTGCTGGGATTACAGGCATGAGACACCGCACCCGGCTGTAAGTACCTATTTTTCAAAATTTTATCAGCTACTATAGTTATACAAGGGCATTAACACCAGGGGTTGCTGGGTGAAGGGTGTACGAGAACTCTGTACTATGTGTGCAACTTTTCTGAAAATCTTAAATTACTTTAAATTAAAAATGTTAAAGATGTAATTACTAATTAGTTATTTCCTTGAGCCTGACTTTCCATACTTAAGATTGGATTCCCTTCACACACACAACTGTACTTTAAAAATAGACTCCAATTCTTATGGATACTGTCATCAAAATATCTTCTCTCTGCATCTGCCATTTAAATATTTAGCCATGCAATTTACCATCTGTGTGACTCTGGGTGAGTCACTTCATTTCCTTGTGTCTCTGTTTCTTCATCTATAAAGTAAGGATAATAAAGTCAACTTCTTCACAGATTTGAATAAAAGTTAGTACATAAAGTACTTAAAAAGTGGTCCTGTGGGGGAAGCACTGAGTAGCTGTGAGCTGCTGCTATTATTTGCTATGGTCTGAATTCATATCTTAAGACTGGATTCCCAGTGTGATAGTATTAAGAGGTAGGGCATTTGGGAAGTAATTGTTTTGGGATATTTCATCCAAACGCAGAGCCTTATAAAAGAGATAACAGGGAGCAAGTTTGCTCCTTGCACCATGTGAGGACACAGCCTGTCTTCCTTTTCCATGTGAGGACACAGTGAGAAGTGCCATCTATGAAGCAGAGACGGAGCCTTCACCAGACACTGAATCTGTTGGGGCCTCGATCTTGAACTTCCCAGCTTCCAGAACTGTGATACATAAATTCCTATTATTTATAAATAACCCAGTCTAAGGTATTTTGTGATAGCGGCCTGAATGGAATAAGACATTATTATTATTAAACTTGCTGAATTCACATTCCTAGAGTGGAGCTATAGCTCTACAAAAATTTGTAAACTAATTCTCAAGGGACTTGGCCCAGATAGTTGCCATAAGTAATACTGGCTGGCTTTCACATGTAAAAGGTCAATGTCCAACCCAGTGAAAGGTATCGTTCCTTAAGCTGATTCTACAATTGTGAGTCAAGTTCAACTCTTGGCAATAGTAGAGGAATTAGCCTGATGTAAGCTCTAGCACAATGAGGTCTGACCTTTCTCTTCCACCTGTGTACCTGTGCCACTCCAGTCAGGGCACCTGCGCCTCTCTGTGCAGTTTTAGATCTGCAAGGCTGTTGAGGCTCATAGGAGAGACTGGAAGGTTCAGGCAGTACATATGGTTGCTGCTTTTATTACCGAAGGCGGCACGGGGTGTGTCCAGCGTGCACAGTGTGCATGTTTTCCTTTATCTAGAAACACAAAGAATGCCAGCTAAACATTTAAATGCTCTGTCCAGGCATTCTTGCCTTACAGTGAGCCATAAGGTAGCCACATGTAAACCCATAATTAAACTCTGAATATTCACCTGTGATGTCTATTCTATTGCCAACAGCAGTCGCTTTGGAAATAAAGGAAAAGGTAAGAAAAGCATAGAAATGTTTAGCCCGTAGGCATTCTACTTTATGCCCCTTGATCCCTTACCACCTATGAACACTAGGTGTTATGGTAATTTTCCCCTTGACTGCAAAATCTGCTCCCCCATACGTGGTTTTGACAATGTGGAAGCCTTAGTAGAAAAGAGAAACAAGAGCAAGGCTGGGATGTTGCAGAGGGGTCTCATGGCCTAGCTCATGGCCCCCAAGGAACACCATCTTCCCCTGGGCAGAGAGCAGCAGTTCCCAGTCAGAGGGGCCCTGGCTGTCAGATAAGGACAGAGTGGATTCCAAGGACAGCATCAGCCCATTAAAAAGAAATGCAGGTGACAGCCACAGCCCCAAAGGCATTATAGGGATGGTCTTGAGAAAATAAAAGAATTTCTCTAAAATCTACAAAAAGTCAGAAGGGATTCTGTATCTATGATAGGGATTTCATTCCCAATTCCATTCTGACCATCAGCTATAGCTGGTTTCAAGGTTATCCGGAGGCAAACTGTTACCCTCTCCTAGCGATACCCTGGAATCCTTTGGTTTTCTCTGAGTTCTTACCTGAGAGGACAGCCCTGGTTAGAACATTTGCTTATCTTTCAAAGGAAAAACCTGAGGATGTTTCCAAAAGTAAGCTTTTCTTTGGAAGCCCCCATCTTTCCTTTTTTTTCTTAAACAGATCCTCCTAAGCCCTTCTTCTATGTTTTCTGTTATCTAAACATAATAGATTAGCATCAGTCTTTCCATGTTTATGACAGCTTCAAATTCCTAGATACAAATGGAAGATACCTTTGCTGATCAAATCAAGATGAATGCCCTTGTCAACAAGAGTAATGTATACAGTTGGTCCCTCCGGGACCCCCAAGTACAAGGAAATAGGCTGATGCCTGAGAGTTCAACCACACACCAACATGGAGTGGGTCATGGTACAGAGAACTCAAGTCATCTTGAGAACACGGGATGGGTCCTAGGCCAATAGGACTCCAGGATAACTTGACTGTGTGTGCCGATGAACCGAAAGTGGACTTGGTGGGAAAACCAAAGGAAAAGCTACGCTATGGCAGAGCCCACCCAGAAACAGCCCCGAGAAGGGAGTAACCAGGCCCGTGGACAGGGAATTCCGGTCACCTAGCCAGGCTGTTTGTGGGAGCTGTGGTAATTACAAGCACAGTATCTGGAGTCAAATGCCTCCGTTCCCATCCCAGCTCCTCACTTACTAACTGTCACACTGCAAAAGACTGATCTGTGTCTCAGTGTCCTCTTCTGGAAGATGAAGTTAATAATCAGCTAGGTGTCAGGTCTAAATAATTAATCTATGTGAAGTTCCTAGCACCATCCCTAACACAGGGGAAGCAAAAGCACTCAACGACTGTTGCTGTTGCTGAGGTGGATTTATTGGGCCATCACAGCCCAATGCCACAAAACACCTGGGTCATCCATCCATTTGCCTCCCCTTGTTCTAGTTCCACTCCCTCCAACAGCATTTTGATTAATTGGCTCCCCTGACCCCCTGTCACCGGGAGGAGAGTATACAGGCCATGCTGTCAGAATAGTCCAATCCACACAGTGGTTGTGACTTCGTGTGACATTGAGTATTCGGGAATTTGGGTGTACAGACCTGTCTCCTGGGAGGTGTATTAACGTGAGGGTTCAGAGGGCTGCAGGGCTCCCAGACAGTGATGATTCCACCAGGACAACTGCCTCTCCAGAGGCCTCAGGGCATACAGCTCAGCCCCCACCGTGCCTTAATATCAACCTTCATCCAAATGCCTGCCCACGATGCTGCTCCGGGATGAGCAAGCCTTACCTGTGACATGGAGCTTTTCATCAGCAACCTCAGCCTTTAGGTAAATCCGCCCCCTCTTCTCTGTGTGATCCATTCCGCAGAGGCTGGGGACATTGATGACGCATTGCTTGTGAACGTTCATATCGCAGGCTGTGAATCAAGAAAGCAGAGGGTGAGCTGGGCATATGGACTCCAACCACCGCTCCTCAGTGTTTTGGTGCACGAGCAGAAGTGAAAATGAGTTACCCCCAACTCGATACTTTGCTATACTGTTTTTGGTGACATAAAGAACTGTTAGCAGATGTCCTGTACAGCACAGGCTTCATGTGAGTGACAATATCCTTAAAATACCCATACCATATTTGCTCAATCTTCACTGAAGCAAAATATCCCAGCTTGGCCTTCTGTGATTGTTTCAAATATTTAACAGTATACAAAATTCACACAGGTAAATATGTACAAAGCTCAGCTTAATTAATATTTTATGTACACAGAGGCAAAGTAATATGAAAATTTTAAACATAGGATTTTTTTTTTTTTTTTTCTTCAGACAGGGTCTCCTTTTGTCTCTCAGGCTGGAGTGCAGTAGCATAATCCTAGCTCAGTGCAGCCTTGAACTCCTGGGCTCAAGCGGTCCTCCCATGTAGGCCTCCTAAAGTACTGGGACTACGGATGTGAACCACTGCTCCCAGCTTAAACATAAGACTTTTTGCTAATGAATTCTGTATGCTTTTCTGGGCTTACCACTGAGAAACAGTGAAAATCTGCAGATTGAGTATAGAAAATTCATTAAATTTTCCTTTCCTCAGCTAACCTTGTATTTTCAACAAGGTTTAAGTACACTGCCTGTGTTTTTTTCCCCAAAGAACTTGTATTTGGTATTTTAAACCTGTCTTCAAATATTTAAATATTATTCCAAGTAAAACAAATACCCGCCTAGCATGATCAGCCACTCCTTACAGCTGACATTATGTGGGTGAGACAGGGGGAGGATAAAAAAAGATCAGTATTATTGCAATGAACCAAAGAAACCCTGAAAAGAATCCTGTGTGCCGGAAACAAACAGAAGACCGTGTGTAGGTGTTCTAGCTCGATCGTCCTTGTACCTTTAGGCTTCCAGAAGGAGGGAAGGCCCCTGGAATCCTCACGAATCCTTGCCAGGACGCTAATAAGGTTATTCCGTAATCATCAAGGTGGGGTCTTCCTCTCCGTTTCATTTGGAGTGTTTAATTTTAACATGACAAAGTAAATTGAAAAAGCATCATGAATAATGTATACCGCTCCGATTAAAGACGGACAGCAGAATGATGGACATGCTGAGGAAAGAACAATTAGCGAATTCACAAATGTGGATGCTATTAGGCTTCCATTTCCAAGGCTAACTGTTCAAAATTCTACACTTCGAATTTAGCCAATATAAAGGCTCCTGAAAAGCTGTGTTATGAATGTCGCTTGCGTTAACCATGTCGTGTGTTTAAGTGTCCGGGCAAAATTTGCAATGTGAAGGCAGTAAATGCCAGAGCCTCTGGAAAGCACACAGGCAACGGGGAGGGTACGGGAGGTGAAAGCACACTGGACCGTGTTCCAGTCTCCGCTGTATATCTTGGGAAGCTCATTTGTTCTAACTTCATTTCCAGCTCTACAAAATGAGAGGTTGGCCCACTCGAGTTGTTGTTGCTAACTGCCCCCTGACGCCCTGCCCCATCCCAAGTGGAACTCTATCTAGGATTACAATTGCACAAGGTGGAAGGGCACGGGAAGAGGCTTTTTCTCTGCAGAAGTTAAGGTCAGTAGGGGTTGCAGTTCTGGGGCTCATCAAAGGAGCACAGGCGGCAGCCACAGAAGCCTTAAGATTCCTAAGAAAAAGAGTTTAAAACAAAACCAAACAAAAAAGCATTGGTCCAGGTCAGCGGTTTTCAAAATTTTTTTAGTAAGGAAACCATTTTGCAAACAAAATCTAAAGCAGAATCTAATTATGTAAACCACATGAGTGTTATTTTATTAGCATCAACTCAGCTAACAAACGCAAATTTATACCATATATTTATTATAAAGACATTCAAGGATCACCAGTAAAGCCCTCCGATACAAACAGAACTTTGAAACCAGTGGTTAGGGATGCAAGTTGATGTCTCAGACCAGCCTCCACATCTCATTTATTTTTGCATTTTGTTAAAGTGGTACAGGATCCAAAACTCCTGATTCACACAGAAAACTATGTACAAACAGGAACAGTGTCTAATGGTATGCTTCCCCATCCCAGCTGACTCTTCCGTGAAGAGGATGCTGTAGCAGAAACCAAGTTCTGCCCAAGGAGTGAAGGTTGAGTATGTAACACGTTGGAATGTTTATTTTGTTCCCAGTTTTGAAGTAGTTAAAATATATATACAAATGCACTTAAGTTGTAAGCCCTTGCAGAACCCCTGAAAACCATATCTTTGGAATCCTACGTTTTTTTTTTCTCTAGTTTTTTGAGACCAAGTTTCACTTTTGTTTGCCCAGGCTGGAGTGCAATGGCACAATCTTGGCTCACCGTAACCTCCGCCTCCTGAGTTCAAGCTATTCTCCTGCCTCAGCCTCCTGAGTCGCTGGGGATTACAGGTGCCTGCCACCACCCAACTAATTCTATATTTTTAGTACAGACAGGGTTTCACTATGTTGGTCAGGCTGGTCTTGAACTCCTGACCTCAGGTGATCCGCCCGCCTCAGCCTCCCAAAGTGCTGGGATTACAGGTGGAAATCCTAGGGTTTCTTGAAGCAAACAAACATGGCATTTGGTTGTGACGCTGTACAACTCTGTAAGGTGAAGAATCTCTGTGTCTGAGAAACTCCATCTACTCTATAATGCTCGTTTATGTTCCTTTTTCTACAGTTTGCTCCATGTAAGATACAAATATCAGCTTCTGGCCATCATAGCAAATGGCAATAGTCATTAGCAAATGGCAATAGGCTGAAATTTCCACAGTGCTTCCCAACCTATTAGAAAAACAGGCTGGGCAATTAACTTTTCATGTCCTAAAAGTATCAACTTGTATTTAAACAAACATAGCCTAAGGAATCTCATACTTTAAGAACGATCAAAGCAGGCTGGGCGTGGTGGCTCACGCCTATTATCCCAGCACTTTGGGAGGCCGAGGCGGGCAGATCACAAGGTCAGTAAATCGAGACCATCCTGGCTAACACGGTGAAACCCCAACTCTACTAAAAATACAAAAAATTAGCTGGGTGTGGTGGTGGGGGCTGTAGTTCCAGTTACTCGGGAGGCTGAGGCAGGAGAATGGCATGAACTCGGGGGACAGAGCCTGCAGTGAGCTGAGATCGCACCACTACACTCCAGCCTGGTTGACAGAGAAACACCACATCAAAAAAAAAAAAAAAAAAAAAAAAAAAAGATCAAAGCAAAGAGTCTTCATAGTTGCTTTTCTTTCCTCCTGGTAGTTGATGGAGATACACACATAACAAAAAATAACAGAAAAGGGCTGGTGTCTTGCTTCTCAGTGGTCCTCAGTGTTCTAAGCTGGGCTGATACACATTTGATCCGTCCATAAACATGCAGGGTGAGTGAACTTAAATAAGATGCTATTCTGGTTTTTATGTTCATTTTGGTTTCAGTTTTAAGAAGAGCCTACTGGATTTTTCCACAGTCCACCCACTAATTAGAGACACAGGAAGATAATGAGTATGGTTGCTTGGCTTATTTTGAAGCTAACCAAATGTGGACCCAGCGGCGGGAGGCTTCTTTGGGGTTTGACTAGGCTATATTTTACAGTGATTGAAGACTTCTGCCACACAAAAAAAAAAAGGAAGAAAAAAAAAAAGTGACAGCACCCCCCACCTCATTTATAAATCGAGTGCTTTTTTGGGGTTCATAATGAGGCAATCAAGTAGTTTAATAAACTGGAACTTTGACAGTGGGAGATTCTACACTTTGTCAGTCTGGTATATATCTGAACTAATTCTCTCTATTGAAGAGTTGGTGTTGAAAAGTTACTGAGCCCTCCTTGCTCAGCAAACCCTGAACATGAGCTACAGAGCCTCGCTATGAACTGGAAAAGAAAACTTACTTACTGTCACATTTCATCCCTTGGTGGATAAGTCCATACAGCAGGGACCCACAGTGATCGCAGAAGGTGGGGCTTCCGTAAGTGTGGATTTTGAACTTGTGCTTGCTCCTGGGGTCCTGGGAGGAGAAGAAGCACAGTGCTCATTTTAGTCATGAAAGGACCACGTTTTTAGATTAAGCCAAGCTCAGGCCCCACCACTCCCCAATTTACATATAATTAATATAATTTAAAATTTACATAATAAATGTAAATTAATTATATAATAATATAATTTAAATTATATTAACTAATATATAGAATTTAATTTATATTATAAATATTCTAAATAGTTACTGGTTTTTTTTTTTTTTGAGATTTGGAGTTGGCTCCTCTCCCAGGCTGGAGTGGGTGGTATAGAAAAATCTCAGGCTTATCCAAACGCTCTGCTCCCAGGTTCAAGTGGATTCTCCTGCCTCAAGCCTCCAGAAGTAGGCTGGGATTACCCAGGCACGCGCCACGATGCGGGGGTATTTTGTTGTACTTTTGTAGAGATGGGGTTTCCCACCATTGTTGGCCAGGCTGGTCTTGAACTCCTGACCTCAGGTGATCCACCAGCCTTGGCCTCCCAAAGTGCTGCGTAAGCCACTGCATCTGGCCTGCATCGTGTTTTACATAATGAATACCTATGTTTCCTCTCTTTATGGGGTGAAATTTGCACATACCACGGTTTCCACCAAAGCTATTACTTCTGGAGCTATGGTCACCAAAGCCCTTGGGGACCAGTAGAGTGTTTTAAACAACTTGGCATCTCAGTCTCCCCAGTGCCTAGCACAGGCTGGGGCACAAGTAGACACAACATTGGTGTGTTTTTGAAACTGAACAGGAAAAACCCTAAATGGATCATTCAGAAGATCTCCTCTTGGACAGGGTATCCAGAAATACAATACACTGTGAAACCAGATCTACATCCAAACTGACAGGTACATTTTCTTGCTTCTGCACCATCTCCAAAGTATTTTATGCTTTTTACAGGGAAACTCAGCATGGTCAGATGAAAATTGGAAAGGCACTGACATTACGCTTCCCCAGAGCCCACTGCCATTTCATTACCTTCTCTTGTATACCACATAGAGCACCGAAGGTGCAACCAGACATCTTTTTTCTTTAGATTTTTAAGCTTTTGTTCCTCAACTCACAGATTATGGATAGGGGAGGAAAATTATATACAGAAGACCATCGTGGTTAAAGAGCATAGACTCTGGAGTCACTGCCTGGGTTCAGGTTCCAGCTCTGCTACTTCCCAGAGGCACGGCCTTGGGTGAATTACTTATCCTTTCTGCCTCATCTGTAAGCTGATAAATTAACAGCATCTGTCTTCTGTGGTTACTATAAATAAGGACAAAACGAGTCAGTCTTTGTAAAATGCTTAGAAGAGTGCCGTATCACAGGGTAGGTAGGTACCACGCAGGTAGTGCAGACAAGCACCTCTGCTTCTGGGGCCTCTGCTTATTTTTTTATTTATTCAATTTTATTACTATTTTTTTTTGAGACGGAGTCTTGCTTTGTTACCCAGGCTGGAGTGCTGTGGCACAATCTCGGCTCACTGCAACCTCTGCCTCCCAGGTTCAAGTGATTCTCCTGCCTCAGCCTCCCGAGTAGCTGGGATTACAGGTGGCTGCCACCACCCCTAGCTAATTTTTTTATTTAAAAAATTTTTTTTTATTTTTAGTAGAGACGGGGTTTCACCATGTTACTCAGGCTGGTCTCAAACTCCTGACTTCAGGTGATCCACTTGCCTTGGCCTCCCAAAGTGCTAGGATTACAGGTGTGCGCCACTGTGCCCGGCCTCCTCTGTTTATTAATATATAAAAGTAGGCTGGGCATGGTGGCTCACACCTGTAATCTCAGCACTTTGGGAGACCGAGGCAGGCAGATCACCTGAGATCAGTAGTCTGAGACCAGTCTGGTCAACATGGTGATACCTTGTCTCTACTAAAAATACAAGAATTACCCAGGCATGGTGGCACGTGCCTGTAATCCCAGCTACTTGGGAGGTTGGGGTAGGAGAATCGCTTGAGCCCAGGAGGTGGAGGTTGCAGTGAGCTGAGATTGTGCCACTGCACTCCAGCCTGGGCGACAGAGCGAGCCTCCATCTCAAAAAATAAATAAATAGTAGAGCTCCGAGCTTCTACTCAGATGATCCATTTGTCTACCATCCAAGTACTAACCAGACCCCACCCTGCTTAGCTTTCGATCAGGCCTGTACAGGGTGGTATGGCCATAGACTCAGCTGTTCTATTGGAACTACAAAACAATTTCATACTCAACATGTACCTATCAGGACTCATTCCTGTTAAGTTCTTCCTCTTGAATCACTCTTTGTGGCCTAAGCAACTGTAAAGGCAGAGTGGCCATCCACTGAATTAAGCAAGACCTTAGAAAAGCAGGGTTTGGGGCAGGGCAAGAGATCCAGAGATCTACTGTAGACATGCCAAGCTTGAATTATCCTTTCTCCCAGGGTTTCTGTAATGCAAAGTGACACAAAGTAGAATATTCTTGGCTGCTGACTTTCTGAGGGCCTTGGTGCTGGTGATTTCGGGGAATTCCAAAGGTGATTCTGACTATAAGATAATTCACCTTTTGGTTGACTATGGAACCTAAAGCCTAAGCCACATACATGCCAAAGGCTTGTTATGACTACTTTTCTTTCTTTTTTTTTTTTTTTTTTGAGATGGAATCTTGCTCTGTCACCCAGGCTGGAGTGCAGTGGTGCAATCTTGGCTCACTGTAAGCTCACCTCCCGGGTTCATGCCATTCTCCAGCCTCAGCCTCCCGAGTAGCTGGGACTACAGGTGCCCACTACCATGGCCGGCTAATTCTTTGTATTTTCAGCGGAGATGGGGTTTCACTGTGTTAGCCAGGATGGTCTCGATCTGCTGACCTCGTGATCCGCCCGCCTCGGCCTCCCAAAGTGCTGGGATTACAGGTGTGAGCCACGCCCGGCCTATGACTACTTTTTAAAGATTTGAGAATTCTGAAATAGTTCAATCATACAGAGAAGTATAAAGAATAGTAAACCCCTCGTGTCTGCACCACCCAGAACTTATAAAAGTGAGCATTTTCCCCTAGTTTTTAATGCGAAATTATCCTCGTTTTACAGAGATGTTAGTGACCTTCCCAAAATCACATGGTTGATGAACATCAGAATTCAGATTTTTTTTATATGAAACAGTTTACACATTTGCACGTCATCCTTGCACAGGAACAATGCTCATCTTTGTTTCACTCCAAGTTCTGTATTTGTGCTGCTTAAGAGAGCACAGACCTACGATGTGACCAACATTGGATTCCCATCCCAAGAGCTTTTGGAGATCTACTCAGAATGAGGATCTGGCTCTCAATATCTTTACAACAAATTTTTATATTTGCAACACATTTTTTTTTTTTTTTTTGGAAACAAGTCCACCACCTGTTTTTGTAAATAAAATTTTATTGGAAAAAAGCCATGCCCCTTTATTTACATATTTTCTTTGGCTACAATGGCAGAGTTGAATAATTATGACAGAGACTGTGTGGGCCACAAAATCTAAAATATTTACTATTGGGGCCCTTTTAGGAAAAGTTTGCCAAGCCCTGCTTTAAGAGGGGTTTTCAAAGCATGGTTCCCACACAGCATCACATCACCTGGAACTTGTTAGAAAGGTATAGTATTTAGTCCTTTCCCAGACCAACGAAGTCAGAAACTCTGGGGGTGGGGCCTCCCAGTCTGTGTTTGAGCAGATCCTGCCAGTGATCCTCGTGTCGGCGGACTCACTAAAGACTGGAAAACTACTGCTCTAGAAGGTCATTCAACAAATATTTAGTAAGTGTGTCACAGGTGCGAGGTGAGTACCTAGCACCTCTATGTGCAGATGATTAATGATATCCTTGAGGCGGGTCAGTAGTTTACCTCCTAAATGTGTCTCTCAGGGTATGAAAAATCAGCATCTTCCTTGACAGCTTATTTCTTCTGGAAAGTAGTCGTTGCGTCTACGGTATGAAGTATGACCTTAGATTTCCACCATTAGAGAAGCCCACCAATTTTCCCAGGATTCCATGACATCAGGAAGAATGTTCAGGGAGTAAGCTGGTGCCAGCACCAATTAAAAGTACCTGTGTTGACAGGAAAGGTTGTGTCCTACAGTGCGGAGGGCACAGAAGATGCCAGGGGAAACGAAGGAACCAGTTTTCCCTGCAGAAACGAGTCATCAACAAATGGCACTAAATAAATAAGGAATGGCAGCTCGCACGGAGCCCTCAGGAGTATGTGTGTGCCAGGCAGCCCCAGGGTGGCTGTCATACCAGTTGGTTGTCACATAGATCTCCACTGACGTGGCACACAGGCAACTCACTTTTCAGGCAAACCTAAGGCTTACTCATGCAACAGCCATATGGCACCTTCAGGCTCTCACCGTTTGGAGGTGTAGGAAGAGAGGAAACCATCGCTTCCACCTCCTGCCTAAGTCTGGAGAACCGGCAAGTCTTGGTGTCGTCACACCCCAAAATTATGTGTGGCCAAAGATCCTGCCTATGAATTACAACAATGACAGTAATAATAATAGGACCAGCTGTTTGTTGATCAGCAAGTGTGCACAGGTGCTTTACAATAACCAAGATCTTTGTTTAGAACAAGAGCTTCTCCTATGAGAAGATCACTGAGCAGGACTGTGGAGACCTGTGTTCTGACCCTAGTCCCGGCACAAACTTTTACTTTGGAAAAGTCACGTCATTTATTTATAAAGCAGAAAGAAAATCAATCTGCCCATGTCATGGGCAAGGGGTGACACTCAACTTAGGGAATATAAGAGAAAGGCTTTGCAACCTTAAAATCCCAAGACAAATATAAGCAATTATTATTATTATTACATTATCCATAGGAGCAAACTTCAAGGTGCCCAGGGTTTCCCCAAAATACTTTAGTGACTTGGGCCTGGATGGGGAGGAACAGGGCAGCGAATCACCCTCAGGCTTCAGAGGTGGTCAGAGTGAAGGCCAAGCTGGCAGAAGTTAAGGGACTTCCTCCTAGTTCCTGCATTCCCGACTTCTGCACCCCAAGCCTGGACTTTCAAGCCAGTCCTCTTGGCAAACGCCCGGAGTG